GGGATACTTGAGAGAGCCCGTGACGTAAGCGAGGTCATTGCGGAGAGCTGGGAACGTGAAGGGTGGGTGTGAGGACCAGGGGTGAGGAGAAGGGTCTGTAGAAGGGCCAGCGTAAGCGCGAGGAGTGGCTGCACTCCTCGGCCGGCCGGAGTTGGATCAGCCCTCGGCCGGTGAGGAAGAGGCAGCCCGGACAGCCAACTGAGCCAAGGAACAGACCATGGGGATTAGTGCTAGCGATACGATTGTCAATGTGTGATTACCGCTAGCACTGTGATTGTCACTATCACTGTAATTGTCACCGTGTGATTAGCGCTAGCGCTGTGATTGTCACCGTATGATTGTCAATGTGTGATTATCGCTAGTGCTGTGATTGTCGCTCGCACTGTGATTGTCACCATGTGATTAGCATCAGCACGTGATTGTCACCGTGTGATTAGCGCTAGTGCTGTGATTGTCAACGTGTGATTAGCGCTAGCGCTGATTGTCACCATGTGGTTAGCGCTAGGCCTGTGATTATCCCCGTGTGATTAGCACTAGGGCTGTGTAATTATCACCGTGTGATTGTCGCTAGCGCTATGATTGTCACTATCACTGATTGTCACCATGTGATTAGCGCTAGCACTGTGATTGCCACCATCATTGTCACTGTGTGATTAGCGCTAGCGCTGTGATTGTAACCGTGTGATTGTCACCGTGTATTAATTGCTCGCGCTGTGATTGTAACCGTGTGATTGTCACTTGTGGTGCCGCCGCAACAGAGCCGCTCCAGCGGAACCGCGCCCACCACCGCGACGCCGTCACCGATGCCTCGGATTTCCCGCCACTCTCCCGAAGCCGGTGCCCTCTCAGACGTCCGCGTTTTGGCCACTGCACAGTCGTGAGGCCGCTGCAGCAGGGCCGCTCTGCCGAGGTCGTGCCCACCGCCGCAAAGCCGCCACCGGGGGACGCCGACGCGGTGCACCCTCACCACCCCCCCCCCCCACACACGAACGTACACACGCCCCACGTAGAGTCGGGAGGGGAGGTCACCCGGCTGATAGGTTTTTGTCCAGAAGTCCCTAGTGGGATCGAACTTCATTGTTTCCTGCGGCCGGGAAATTGGGCGATCTTCCCCCTGTAGCTGACATGCACTGCAGCGCCGCGACCTAATATTAAAGTTGCATGGTCACGGCAAGGGCCATCGAACCACCGCGAGTGGAACCACGCACGCACAAGCACGGGTCAGTGGACTGGTAGCGGGAGAACAGAGAGCGGACGTCGGTGAGATCACTGCGGCGACGTCACCCGAGCTGGGATCCGGGCATCGATAGGGCGGGAGAATCCGAGCCCCTGATTGGACGGGAGGCCAAGGGACTGAAAGAGCAAAATTCCTTTGTTGTAGGTAGGATAAAAGGAGGGGGATTGGGGTAGCAAGGGTGTTCTTCTTCTTCAAGATCATCGCGGTCCCGGCAGCAGCAGAGTCAGCCATCCGAGACGTCCATAAGACGTACTCCAGCACCGACAGGCTCGCTGCCTCATCCCCTTACAGCGGTCAGTACATCAGGTGGAAGTAAGTACGAGTGAGAGAGGCGTAAGTTTAAGCGTTTTAAATCCAGGATAGAGAGCGGGGCGATCGGTAGGAGAAATTGAATCGAAGACCTGAGGGATAGATTAGCGTCCACTAACCCATACCATCACGCGTAGATAAAATTGGTTACTCGAGGTAAATAAAATTCGCTAGTGGGGGGATAAAACTGTGTTGCGTGGTCTTTTGGGAGTGTGAAGGGGAGGGCAGAGTGCGCTGGGTGTCTACGTGTATGCGCAGCTGTGCACCTCGAGACGAAGCGTGTGGTGTTTGCGTGCCCGCACGATTGCTCACAATAGTGCTTAGCGATCGCGTACCTGGGTGGCTGTGTCGCGGTCACGCACCCGCACACGGGTCTAATCGCGAAGTAGCGAGTTAAAGCGCCGAGCGCGCGCGTATTCGCGCGACTGTTTGAGCGGGACCTTTAACTCAGAGCTGAGCGAGCGTCCCCAATCAGCGGCGCGCACACGGCAGAAACCCCGCCCGCTCATCCCTCGGCTCCAACCCCCTCGCGTGCGATTGGTGTACGGGGCTGGGCAGAGGGTAGGGGCGTGTTTATTATTGTCGGCACACGTGGAGCGCGGGTGGGAGGGAAACACGCGCCGCGCCTGTTTGTTTACGGGCGGTACGGAGATTTTACTGGCGAGCGCGCTTACAGCCCCACACCGCCGTTGAACAGGGTAGCGCATCGCAAGCGCGAAGCGTACGAGCCGCTAATTAAGCTATGCAAACGCGGTCGACATCCCAGGCAGAGGTACAGGGGGGCGAGACATTAGGGGTCGGTAGTCTGGACCTGACAGAGCAGCCTGGCGGTAGAGGTATGAGTGGAACGGGGGAGTCGGTGGGCAACGGCCCCGACAATTCAGTGATGGCGGGGGACGGTAGCCCCCACAGTGATTAGCGCTAGCGCTGATTGTCACCATGTGATTAGCGCTAGGCCTGTGATTATCCCCGTGTGATTAGCACTAGGGCTGTGTAATTATCACCGTGTGATTGTCGCTAGCGCTATGATTGTCACTATCACTGATTGTCACCATGTGATTAGCGCTAGCACTGTGATTGCCACCATGATTGTCACCATGTGATTAGCGCTAGTGCTGTGATTGTCACAATGTGATTACCGCTAGTGCTGTAATTGTCACCATGTGATTAGCGCTAGTGCTGTGATTGTCACTGTATATTTATTGCTAGTGCTGTGATTGTCACCATGTGATTAGCGCTAGCGCTGTGTGATTGTCACCATGTGATTAGCGCTAGTGCTGTGATTGTCACCATGTGATTAGCGCTAGTGCTGTGATTGTCACCATGTGATTAGCGCTAGTGCTGTGATTGTCACCATGTGATTAGCGCTAGTGCTGTGATTGTCACCATGTGATTAGCGCTAGTGCTGTGATTGTCACCATGTGATAAGCGCTAGTGCTGTGATTGTCACCATGTGATTAGCGCTAGTGCTGATTGTCACCATGTGATTAGCGCTAGTGCTGTGATTGTCACCATGTGATTAGCGCTAGTGCTGTTTCTCACTGAGGGGCGGGGCTGGGAGGAATCACAGCATCCCCCACAGCCCCCCAGTGTGGTGGCCTTAATGGACGTGTTTGTGACCACCGTTATATAACCGCGTGTCACCCTCCTGTAACACCCCTACACGAGCACTGTGATTGTCACCGTGTTATTAGTGCTAGCGCTGATTGTCAATGTGTGAATATCGCTAGCGCTGTGATTGTCGCAAGCACTGTGATTGTCACCGTGTGATTATCGCTAGTGCTGTGATTGTCAACGTGATTAGCGCTAGTGCTGCGATTGTCACCCTGTGATTAGCGCTAATGCTGTGATTGTCACCGTGCAATTAGCGCTAGAGATGTGTGATTGCCACCATGATTGTCACTGTGTGATTAGCACTAGCGCGGTTAACTACACTCACCCCAGCAGCAGTGAGGAGGGCGGCCGCTGGGATTCAGAGAACCTCTGCAACGAGCGTCGAACGTGGCACACAAACAAATCAACAGCACACGCGTCGTCAAAAGCGGAGTCTTTTATTTTAAAATATCACCGTGATTCCTCTTTCGACGTTGATCTTTGGGAATTTGGCTCATTGATCAGTCACCGCAGGGTGGTGGCTTGCAGGTTATCCAGCAATTGCACGTGGCCTGTGTCCGTTTGATCCGTTCCCCACTCAAACCGGCTGCTTTTTGGCTTTAACATTGTTCAACATTTTTCATAAAACACTCCTTCACCAAGTAAATCAATACTGATATATATACAGATACAGGATTAACCAAGTTATCCAAAAAGTAAAATTTTTCTATCAAAACAGTGCATTACAAACACGTTATACTGTATACGAAAACGTAAAAAAGTATATACACCACTCTATTATCCTTCAACATAAACAATATATATTACCGAGCCTATCTTCATTACAGTTCAAGTTTAATTTACTTAGCCACCAGGTGAGAACTCAAGAGACCAGAATGAGTCTCACTTTCACTCTGGATTACTGCGTGTATAATCCCACAGGAGTAATTTGTGGTGTTATGTTTGAATTTGGCAAATTTGGAGGCGGACGCCGGCACACAGCGGCCTCCAATTGCGAATGACGTCGGGGATCTTTAACGTCCACTTGTGAGTGAAGCGGACGGCGTGTAGCGTCATCATCGCGGTCAATACACCCACAGCAGCATTCATCAGGGCAGCCCAGGAATTCGAACCGCGGTGACAGCGGGGCCACGTCACACCCCAATTACCCCACCGCACTGTAAGCAGCACAGATTCGTCGGTTAAATGGCACACGCACACACACACACAAAGATCCCCGTGAAGCCTTAACAGATTGTTGAGGCAAGTGCTGTGAGCGAGTACCTCTGACGGCCGGCACTGTGGCACACGAGGGGGTGGGTGGCCAGAACCATGCCTGGCCGCCTTTGTCTCCCCGGTGGCAATGTTTACACACCACCCAAGGTACTCATTTTAGGCTGAGTCGACCTAGGGGAGGCCCAGGATTGGTTTAGATAGTCGTCACTGGTGTTGGCCATGAGCGGGAATCGAACTCGGATCGCTGGGTTCGTAGCGCAGTGCGTTCACCACTACAACAACCGCCATTCGCCACTAAGTGGCGGTGACGTCACCACGACGCTTGTGCCAGGCTATGTGCACCCTGAGGCCACGTGAAGTGTCGAACGCCCGCTGGCAGGAGGTCACGGGGCAGACCCAGGTGCCACGGGTCGACTGACTGAGATGACTGGCTGATGCACCACCTGTGCCCCCTACTGTGCCAACCTGCTGTGCTTTAGCCACCCGGCGCTCCGCTCGTTGTTCTGAGCGTCGCTCCTCCACCCTCCGTTGTTGTTGGAGGGCGACTGCCTCCAACTGCCCAGTAGCATCCTTCACGAGCCTCCTCCACAGAGGCCGATCTTGACACCGCTGGTACCAGTCATCGGCAAGTCCACTCAGCTCCACGAATTAAACCACTACACTACCGCGCGCGCACACACACGTGTCGGTGTGCAGGCGACCATGCACGGCTGCGCCGCTCGCTGCATGGTGAACTGGTGGATTTGCAAAAACCCAGAGGGAAATTCTGGGCAACTGTGCCACAAAGCGCACGTCCTCTCTTCACCCACTCACTATTCAACTCCAGATCAGAATTCTCGAGGTGTCAAATTCCAGCCAGAAACATGAGCAGCAGCAGCAGCACATTACAGGCAGCTGTAACGTGCAAGTGGTGATGAAATAAGGATACAAATTCACAGCCGACATTTTGCCCAAGGAGCACTGAGATTTGCCAATATAAGGAATTGCGTTTGTGCAGCACCACACGCCAGCAAGGCACCCCTCCCCACACACACGCATCCGCTCCGAGCCGCACTGGACCCCCCACGGCCTGCACCCAACAGTGCTCTCCGCACAGGGCATGAGCCGTGGCGGCCATTGGGTGTTCGGAAACCATGACGAACGGTTCCTAAACGACAACTGTGGGAACTGCAAGAGGTGCGGGCTGCCTTACCACAAGCGTGCCATGCACCGTGTGAACTGTACTCATGGTACGTGTATACGTGCTAACGCCTAAACCTTAAATAAATTCAATGACTCAGAATGGCACCGTATTAAACAGGCACAATGGCAGTTGCGCGTTTTGTTCACGAGAGATGGTTTCAAGGTACTTCAGCAGCAGATTTCCAGGTCACCGCGAACAATGGCCACAGTAACACGGCAGAGAAACGCCCTGAATGAGACGCGTCGACCCGACTCGGCGCTGCCCGCGGCCTTCGTAGGCCGGGGGCACGACTTGTCCGGGATGCGACACACAGTGGTTGTGCCCTTTGGAGCTGAATTATAAACCAATGGCAGGTGATTCGTAGCCGAGCAACGCTCGAGAGGATCCCTTCGCAAGCACAGGTCCTCACACAGTAGTGCTGGGCAGGGCCTCGTCATCGCAGCTGTCAGCGATGGACAGGTGGTGGATTGTGGCTCCGTGTCGCGACGGCCCTGACGCCGTCGCCACCGTAGTGGCGCGCGCTGACTTCAGCGATGACTGGTTGTGCTGGCGGGCCAGACGGCTACCTACTTGCCTGCTTCCCTGCCCGCTGAGACGCATGCTCTGTGTCTGCCACTGCCGAGCTTGTGCAAAGGCAGCAGGAGGCTGCCAAACGGCGGACTTGGGTCGCGAACGGGAGACGGCTGCGGCGGCGCCGGATGCGGCAGACGTGCGGTCGTGGGGGGGCACGGAATCGGTGGCTCCTCCGTCGTACGCGTCCCTGGCCCCAGAGTTTCCGGTGGAAGGTGCGACGCCTGTCTCTGGAAACTCCTGCGAGGAGGAACAGCACGCAGGTCAGTTTGGGGCCGCGTGCGATCAAGCAACAGCTGTGGAGCACATGATGTTTAAAACGTGTGGCGAGCGCGGGTCATCTCACGACCCCGTGAAAATGCAATGCCGCGGACGACGTCATCATTGCACTCTCGTAGCCCTCCTCCACTCCGCAAGCACAATGGGGCCGGCGGCTATGGGGAAAGGGAGACATCCCGGGTCAAGGGTCGGTAATGTACAGTATGTATGTTGAACTTCTTTTCGCAACATACGTAGCCAACCATGCTAATCGGAGGTGCGGGTAAATACAAAGGGCGTTGAGTTGAGTGGCAAATGTTTGCCGAGCCATCAGCATGATGAAGAAAAGGTGAGAATGAAGGCACATCACCAGGTGAGTCTTCTTTTGAGGTGCACCATGGAAAAAAAACCTGTCAGGTGAAAATCTGCAACAAAAATGTCAGCGAACAAGAGAAAGGGCAACGGAAATATGGACACACTTAGACGGCTTCTCTACTTGAGGTAGCAATGTCCCCGTTCTCTTCACGTGGATGCAAGGATCCAAAATGCCTTGGGGGAGAGAAGTGAGGGAGCTGTTATCGTCCTGTACCAGCAAACAGCTGCGCCAACTGCCACTTTGTACACTTGAGGGCTGGGCCAGAGTTAGGACAGTTATACAACACCCACCATGAAAAGATTCCACACACGTTGCTCGCCCTGCAAAGGTCCTCTCTGGAATTCACTCTGAGAGAATCATCGCCACTTCTTTGGGCAAATATATTTTAATTGCGATCGTTTACTTAACTCCCCCTCCCCCCTGTTAAAGGCCAGGTTCTGGACATTCCACTTCTGCGTATGACTGTCTCTTCTCTAGAAATGTAGACTTGCATCCGGGCCTTTAGAGATGCAGTTGTATTTAACGCCATATTAATACAACGGCGTCATTTTGCTTGTAGTTCACCCAGGAAAACCTCTCCTGAGTCTTGAGACTCTTTCTTCTGGAGGGTCCTGCCCAGCGTTTGCAGTAGGTGACGTTGCTGCTCTGTGTGATCCCAGTTGAATCACTTGCTGCTAATCTTTCAGAATCGGGATGTTTTGATCAATACCGGTTACATTGTGTAACCGGTATTGACCAAAACGTGTGACGAAACCTAAGAATCCAGAGGAAACCCATTCAGAACGGGGGGAGAACATACACACTCCACAGAGAAATTGAACCCAGGCAGCTCTTTCTGTGGCACAAAAGCGTTACCATCTTGTCACCAAAATCAGGGCCCGCGGTTGAATTAGTATTTTATGCGATCTCTTACAATACCATCTGAACTCACAGCTTTTCCTCTGCACGCCAGGAACTCCGTGTCAGGGAGCTCAGAGAGTGACAGGCGCGACGTCACGGAGCTCTCAGTATAATTGCGTAGACATTCAAATGTCACTCCTGTTATTTGTTTAAAAATTTGATAAAATTTTACATAAAAACATTCCATTACACTCTTCATGTCATCATGTAAATGGCACTATAGCATTTACATCTTCCACTTAATCATATAAATTACACTATAATATTTACATCTTCCACTTAATTTCCAAATTGCTATCTCTGGCTGCAGTATGGTTCCGTAGAATTTCACAGGGGCTGAACTGTGACTTTTCATTGACAGCATCACAATCTCAAACTGTTTTGCCAACTGATTGTAAATTCACATTTTCAACCAACACCACCATCACCACCGCACTCGAGCTTTTTCTCCACACGTAACAGAGCTAAGAGCTGCTGTGACGCTGATATTCTTCAACTGTGGAGGCGATTGTGCACGGGCAGCACCAGGAGCAGCACTGATACGTGAATGACATTGGATAACTGTGACATCACTCCTGTTGTGAAACAAGAGTGCGCTACAAACAAGCGAGCCAAATTATACAAATTACCGTCGCTGTAACAACAATAACCAATTATATTGCACTACGACCCCCTTTGAAGCATTTCACTTCATTACCATTAAAATAAGTTTAACCTCTATGCTGTTTTATGCGGGGATCGGTCACCAGACACCGTCCACTCGCTGCTGCTGCTCCATGAGTCGCTGGTTTGGCACCGGGTAGCTGCGTCCTGGCTGCGCACGCAGAGACACTCAGCTCGCTGCCGTGACACGGCGCCAGCACGCCGAGCAACCCCACCACCTCCACCACTACCACGCTTTGCAATTCAACATCATTTTCTGGCGAAATGTTATACATTTCAGTGGTGGGCCACTGCTAAAAGCCTGTTCATGCCCGAATGTGAATTAGCGTAGTCCGAAAACATAAACACAAATTGCATCCCGCAAGGAAGAATATTCTTCTGGCAAAACCCCGGCCGCGACGGCCGTGCGCACCGCATGCAAGCGTTCCCGTACAGTCCACAGCAGGGGGCTCCGCAGCAGGGGACTCCGCGTGTGTGCATGCAGACGTCATGCAGACAGCAGCAGCGGCGGCTCAACAGTGAACGCAACGTCTCCAACTCGCTGCAGGTTCCTCGCCCCCACGTGGTAGAACCAACCATTCACAGCTGCATGACTGGAACGCCTCTCCATTTAAATGGTACTCATTTGTATTCACTGTTTTGGATGTGTGCAATTGTTTCAGATTCCTGTATTCCTGCAATTGTACTCCCCCAGCTCTCCCTTGAGAAACAGTGAGCTTGAAATGTTTTAAATAAATCGCACCTACCCACTCACTCCTGCAATTCAACTGTATTAAACGTTAACTGCCAACTGACAACGAGAAGCTGTGGGAGTCCCTCTCACAAACTCAGTGGATCCTGCCCGTGTCGGCACAGCTCTGTTAACATGACAGCAAAAATAATACAATTTTCCCTCGAGAACAGAAATGAAAGTTATTTTTGAGGTGAAGGCGTTCATCAGGAGAGACAAAGGCCAGGTGTGGGGATGTTTGGTAGCTCTTGAGCGCCAAGGCACATGGAGTGGGGACCTGTTCAGCAGGGAGTGCCCCTACATCTCATTTTTTATAATTTTAAACATTTTTACCAGGCAAGGCCCACTGAGCTATTTAGCGACCTGGCTATCAGTAACTGGTAGCTCAACCAAGTGGCTTATCACGTGGAAATTGATAGCAGTAAAATACTCTAAACGCATGTTGATTCTAAATGTGGAGGGAAAAACCAGAGGACCCGCAGAAAAATCCATGCGATCACAGGGAGAGAGACACAGACTCCAAATATACAGGCGTCAGGGTTGGGATCGAACCCATAACTTCTTGTATTCCAGGCGAGGGAGTTAACATCTCGCCACCGTGGCACATCACACTGCACCTCTCTTTACACCGGAGGTCTCCTGCCAACACTCCAAGCACTTAACTGTGCCTTCTCGTGGAGTTCTTGGCTACTGGTGGCTGGCAATTCACTGTAAAAGAGTGACCAATGCTGGCAGCTAATCTCAAGATTTAGTTTTAATGAAACAGTTTTCCAAATTCCAACTTTAGAAGCATTTCCTATTGAATCGAGGCCATTTGCCTTTTGGGCAGTGTAGAGAAAGGGATTCTTCACATGGCATGCTCTATGCAGGCTGTATTCAATGTGCCATGCCTACCAAGTCCTTCAATGATGGTTGTGTTGTCCTCTAATAATGGTGCTGTAAATCCAGTGGTAGCTAGGACGTATGGATAATATCAGCATCACCGGCCAATGATTCAACATCTTCAAAATGGTCAACGATTTATAAAGCCTTCGGCGCTGTGTATGTATACGGCAACACTAGCTAATCCACACCAACACACTCGCTCCTACATAATCCACTACAATGGCACCAACAGGTAATTTGCTCAAGCTATTTGCGAGTGTTTGGTCAAAGCACAAGAGCAGCTGATGTCGCTGGTGGTTAGGGAGACCGCCAATGTCACTGCTGCGTAACTCGGCTTCCTCGGCGCACTGCGGTTGCCCAATCTGCCCGGCAGGAAGCACCTGGGCACGCATCATTGTGGGAGCATGCGCTCAACACGGGGGGAGAGGGACCACGCTATGCGTCGGTGGCACCGGTGAATGGGGTTAGGAGATGACGACACCGTTTCAAATTACGGAGTCATTCCAAGTCTCCGGAAGGTGTAAAGGGATGAGATTAGAAGTCAGTGGGTTAGTCAAGCTGTTAGCTCAATGAGAGTTGACAAGAGGGGGGATCGAAGAGGTACCTGGGTAAACAAGACTTAGACAGCCGTCTGGCCTCTCTCATCTGAAAGATACGTCAAAAATCGCAATAGAGAAAATCAACAAGAGGACACCACAACGTACAGGAGACACGTTGGAAAGCACACGACATGTAAGGAGCCGAACAAGACAACACAACGTAAACAAGGTGACAGTGCAGACCGGCTTGCAACATTTCTCCCACAACTCTTTGGTTATTTGAGTCTGGAGGAGTTACACTGAACCACGATTTAGAATAAGTCTTGGTGCGGTTTAGGCAATTTATCGTGCTACATAACTGTAACAGACAAAAGTAAATGTATTTAATTTGAAACTGAAGCAATTTCCTTCATACATTTGTAATACTCCACCATGCCCCCTATTCTCACCACACGAAACCCTTCCACCACCATGAGCTCTGTACCACAGCAACGCGCTGCAACAACTGTAATCCTTCACTGCAGAGTGAAGTCATCAGGGCACTTGTGCCAGGCTTGGTGCACAGCAAGGCTATATGAAGTGGTCAGGTAGCTTTGGTGGATGGTCAACAATGTCTAGTATTTGGGCTACATACAACCTAGACTTGTATCAAATACCTTGTTGCGTTGCGGCTGACCCCTGCTGCGTTCACTGGTTCTGCTCTCTCGATCATGCGAAATAGCCGCCGCTATAGCGTCCGGTCACTACCGCGTGGATTAGGGGACCCGAGCTCGCACCGTCGTGGGATTGAGGCTCCCATCACTGAATGAAAATGCTATACCTATCAAAAATCTCCAATCTCCGAATGAACCACTACACATTCCAACCTTGACAGGCCATACCACAGAGT